CTAGTCACGCCATCCCAGCATTTACTCGGACTCTGCTAATTCCACATTATGTTGTGAGTCAAGTTTCTGCCAACCCAATGCCAATCTGACACAAATAGCAAAGGTGACGATGGGTGAGGAAAACACTTGAATAGATGCGCACCCGCACACACACACAAGTCCAAACTAGCATGTTCGAGTCAGGTTTCTCGGTAGCTCCGAAAATGCATTGAATGCATTGGCGAAACGAACCTCAGGCTTGTTCAATCCGGCCAATCCAATCCAGTATATAATTGTATGTAATGATATGTATATAATATACATATATGATATATGAGAAACACGTGAACTCCATGGTTTGTTTCTGGGTTTGGGAATCACTGCAATTGCGAACCCAAAACTAACATGAACACGGAAACTGGACACCATTGTTGGAAGATAACTTCCCTTCACAAAAGACGACTTCCTTCTACAAACTCTATCTGTTCCGAACCATGTGACACTCTGACTCACCAACATGAAAGTGGGCGACAACGCAGCCACAGGAACATCGTCTTCCAATAGGTCCAAAATAGTCCAAGTTCGGGCACCTAACACCATGTGCTCAATACCCGTTCAAAAGTGGACAAGAATTGTTGTTTGTAGGGGTTCGCGTGGCCTGGACTCGCCAACTCACCCCAGAAGGGTCATAGAAACCGAACCTTGTGGGTTTTCGGAGGCCGGTCCCTGTGGTGATCCTTCTTCGTTCAGCCCGGCTGAGCCCGTCACTTGGCAATGCTGAAGACTGGCTCTGCTCCAATGGATCGTGGGAAGAGCTTCACTTCACCTGAGTTGCTTGAGGCTCCAACATAGTTACTTTGCCCCATCCTCTCGTGCAAGAGCAAATATAAAAAAAATAATATAATGTTAAATATATATATATATATATACGGCTACGTGATATATATATATATAAGTAGACTCAGACCCAAACTCTACTCACAAAAACATGGCCCTGGTCGTTGGAAACAGTGGATGAACATCTCAGTGGTTCTGGTTCTGGTTGGTTTTTGAGTTGTTGTCCTTGAATTCATGTATAAAACATCATACATCCCTTACCTTATCTTGCTCAGTCTCTCGTACTCAAGCAGGTTTCTTCCAGAAGAAGATGTCAGCTTCCCTTCCACTTGTAACCGTGTAGGTTTTTGGAAGGGTTACTGCTTCACCATCCCTTTGGGCAAACCACCTGCACAACCTCCCTGTTCCCTACGGGTTTCATAGCTTTTCCCTATCTTTGATTCAAGGCACGAATACGGAAGGGCAAGGAGGGCCCGCCGCCGCCTCCGCCGCCGCCCTGTGCCCCAGCACGGTCTCCCACGACGCTCTGTTCCTGGAGGTGAGGAGACATCCTTTGAGGATGTAAAGGATGTGTTTGGGGGTTCACCGGGTTCACTCACACCCCACAAACTGACTGAGCTACCAAGTCTTCCATGGAGAGCTACTCATTCTTTGCCTGTCTGTTCCACTGAGTATCTGTCACCGAACCGAACCGAACCGACCCAGCCGCTCTTCGCTCCTCAAAGGTGCTCTTGGTCCGTGCTGCGCTCCACTGTGCCGGTGGCTTCTTGGCCCTTGGTGACGTCGGTCGACTGAAGCGAGTGACGTTGGTCCGGTGGGGTCCACAAACAGCACAGGAAGATTGGTCATGCGGCACGCAAGTATATACTGAGTATACATGAGTATATATGCTATTGGGTAAGAATGAGCATATGAAGTGTTGGGTCCCAAGGAAATTGTGTTTGTCAGAAACTCGAATCATAGTTGTCCTTTTCAGCTTCCTACACCATCAGGAAAAGCAGGGTGGAGCATGCTGCCTTGCAAAGTTGCGACCTATAACCAACATGAATAACTAGAGCCTTTCGCAAAGTGTCAGACATAAACGTCAGACCTTTGTCTCAATCCATGTGGCCCCCGAGTTCCACGACCACTCCAACCGCGACGCGCTCTGCACTGAGCAGGAGCACTGACGGTCCAACTGCGCCAACTCCTTGTTTGCACGCTCCACCTGTGGTATCAGGAGGATAGCACAAACCAACAACCTGATACCACAATTCAAGCGCTCTCCACGCAGCGCTCTCCACATGTTTGCCAAGAGTTTCCCGCGCTGAACATAAGGTGGAAGAACGGGGAAACCGTCCCATGACTTGGACACAGAACACTGCCGGGGAAGGACACTGCCCAGACAGAAAAGCGAAAAGCCAAAGCAGGCCACGCTCGCCTCACTCACCTCGTCGTCAAGAAAGTTGAAGCTCATGGTCGGCCTTTTGGGACATCAGGACATCCAACCAGAAGGATCGTCAGAACCACAAAGGCTTTCGGGGGCGGTTCTACTACACCGAGGCACACGTCCCTTCAATTTACATAACTCGACCCGGAAACTGAACACACACACACAGACACAAACACATTCCTTTTGCTGAGAACATGTTTTAGCCTTCCAGCTGTCCAAATGCCCGAACTCGTGGTTTGATAAACACTGGCCACTTCAAAAAAGCAATTGCAAAATTGTCCAAAACTAAACCTCAAAGCACAAAACCTTGGTCTAGTGGTCTTCAGCCAAACTGGGATTTGCTTCCAATCTTCCCGTTCGTCGATCTGAGGTGCCCAGGCAAATGAAACGCCGAACGGGTGCAATGCCCAATGCTTTGAGCCCTATCTTTGTTCTCGGAAGAACGCGTTCTCCCAGAGTGCAAAGAGTAAGAGCTGGATGGACTGTTCAGGAAGAAATTGGACGTCTTTGGGGGGTTAGAATGAGAAATTGAATTATAAACATGAATCATAATATGCATCCCGACAGAATTGGTTCTCAGTTAAACCCACATGTTCAAGCATGGATCTTGTGCATACCGCATGAGAATGACAGTCCCTTCAAACAATTTCGAACATCCTGGCATCCTTGATAGATGGGGTTAAGTATTTGAAGATGATACGTGTTGCAAGCAAGCTGTGTGTCTTGCAAAGAGTTGCACCCATCTTGCACGGGATTCAGAATGATCAAAAGAGTCAATTATACATATTTATATATCTTTCAGAATGATTCCAAATGATTCCAAATGATCCTACCGTCGTGGAATTTTGCGGAAAGGGCAGAGGTCTGTTTTCACTGAATAATACCTGCGTGACCCGGGGCGACAAGGTATGCTTCCTTCAACTGGAGGTCACACTGATGTTGGAAGCTCTCTAGAGAAGGCTTTGGATGATTAAAGAGACACCACATTGGAGACAACCAATCTCACGTGTTGATTGTTTTGTGCTGGCGTTCCAAAAAAACATGATAAACCTTATCAGCTGCAACTTCCTATGACGCTCTGCCTACATTTCAGCAGTAAAGGTTGGCAGATGAGAAGTTCGGACAGGTGGATGAGACAATTGAACATGAATCGAGAGGATAAAATACTATTCAACCTCCCAATCTATTAACCCTCCAATACACTTCCATCGGAGTGTAAAGAAGAAACAACTTAATGAATCAAAGCATTGCATTTTGGTCTTGTCCTGTGAATCCTCCTTCAAACGTAAAACCAAAACAACAACCAAGCAATATGGAAGCATGTACCGGGTACCGTACTGCACCTTAGAACTTGCTCTTGCAAGACCAAATCCTGGCACTCAGATCTTTTCTTTCGACATTGGCATGAAATTCTGCATCGAAACTGGAAGAGTCTTCTTATGGCAGGCCAACACCGCGGATCCGAGGCACGCAAGTACGGCTGGGTGGTGCGCGGTGCGCATGCGCGGTGCGCCCTTTCATGTCTGAGCATGAGAAACAACCCTACCTTTAAGATGGTTTTGAAGAAGAACACACGTCAAACAAGCAATTCTTGGAAAGTTTCTGGCTGGTCGTACTGCTAGAACTCCCCCACTTTGTGGGAACCATCTGATCCCACTCCAACACGTCGGACATCTGATCCCTGCCGCAGGTTTGGTCACCGTCTGCGGAACGACTAACGAAAGGACCAAACGAACGGTGATCCGTTCGTATTCAAACATGTCCAAACCGTTCGTTAAGAGCAAATTCTGCAAACCGTTCCCCAAAAAGGCTCCAGTATTTAGTGTTCTTTTGCTTTTGCTATTGGTGCTTGGCTATTCCTTTCTTTTGCATCCACCAGCATCGAATCCTGCCGCTCTTCCCAAGACTGTTTGCCTTTCAGCCATCTTCAGTTTACATTCGCCGGATCGGCGGACAAATTCGAACGGCACAAGGCAAAGAGGATTATGCTTGTCACCTGGTCCTTAATATCATAGTAACAAGAAGCTAGTAGTAACAAGTGCCACGCTAGTAGTAACAAGTGCCACGCTAGTAGTAACAAGTGCCTTACTAGTAGTAACAAATTCTATAAGGTCAGAACTGCGGAGGGGAGACAACCGACTTGCCACCCGCGTTGCCACCCGCGACATGGAGAAGAAGAACGTTGGCCACTTCATGATCCTCTCTGCAGTCGGCCAGCTCAGTAATCATAATGCACACGTGGCCTGGCCAAAGCATCAAGATTGATGTTCACAAAGCAAACATGAAGGAAAGCAACACGCTAGCAGGAAAGCAACACACTAGCAAATCAGCAAAAAATGATAATCCTCTTATGTTTTTGGTGATGTGAATGTAAAAGTCCAGAAGCAGCCCACGCATCAGCAGCAAGGTGGTATACTATTCTGTCTGCATACCATGAAGCTATTCCAACGGTTTGAATCTCAAGCAAAAATCAAGGACATGTACCATGCAGAAGCAGGGCGCAGATTGACTGCACCAAAGAACAGAATCGGATGCCAATTGAGTTGGACAGCAAACATTGCCATATCCCCTGATAGTCTTCACTTTCTCAGCTCTTGCATCAAGCCCTAGTCTTTAGCACAAGGCCCATCCACATATGAGGATGGAGGTCAAGAATAATCAAAGCCTCCTTAAAAGAATCCGTGGATATCCATGGATCAGCTGCCATTTGTGGCTGAACCTCCGCTTCCCTGAGTCAACCGTTTCGATCCTTCCCGCAGGTTCAGGGCCGCGGAGGAAGAACTTCATGTCGCCTCTCGATGTCGCCAACGGAAGGGGCTGAAAACTGCGATGTCGCCAACGGGAAGGGGCTGGAATTGCACGATTCATATTATGAATATATATATATATATGTATTTGTTTAAAGTCATCCAAGATTCCAACATCGATGTTTTACTTGATGCAAGATCATACAAGATACAGAACACAACCATGACCATATCTTAATTTGATTGTGTGGAAGTTGGTCGCCAGGTTTCATCTCGTCACCATAGGTTCGATGGCACAATGGATTCCTTCCGATCGCTCTTTTCTGGGACCCGTGTGCATCTGCTGTGCGATTTCCAGGCACTTCGTGGACTATCCTCCCTGTTACCTCTGTTGCTTGTTGGTCCTAGCATGTAATCATACAACAGTATATATATATATATTGGTTGCACATGGTTACAAAAATACCATTCTACAATGAATAAACTATGTATATATATATATATAGAGAGACTAATTAGCGGTCTGCAGCTGGAAATTTGCCGTCAAAAACACTTTGTATTAAGAGCCTCATCAGGCAGGGGCTTTTTCACGAAACACCTCGGTCTATTGTAGTTGGAGGGGGAGTGCCCTTGCCATGCTGAAACTAAGTAACTAAGATCGTAAGCTCCATGGAAGTACTGCAGCAATCCGAAGAAAAACCCAGAAAACATGTGGCCCAGGGCATCCCAACGACTGGTTTTAAAACTACAGATCTTCACATGGAAATCCCACAAATCTCATTTTCTATCTAAGAGGATAAAGGGTTCCTGGACCTCGCTTTGGAGCGCTCCCACCCCTAGCTTTCTTTTTTTCAAAATTTGGACAGCGCATCTCATCTTTGAAACATAGCTGGATTGTAGGCTGGCATGCAGCTAGGGTCAGTTCCAAGCCGCGCAGTCAGGACCTCCAGCCCTGTCTCTGTGACCAGGAAGGTATGCTCGAATTGAGCTGATCGCTTTCCATCACGCGTCACAGCTGTCCAGTTATCAGGCCATGTGCGGTCTCCACCGTTGTTGCCCAGATTAATCATAGGTTCCACGGTGAAGACATGGCCAGGCTTCATGATGCCAACCTCAGCCGAAACAGAACACCTGTTGGTTCAAGGGTTAGTGTGTGTGTAACAGACTGCAAACCCATCATCGAGTCGTGCATGATCTTGCAAACCGCACATCGCCAATGATCATGTGATGAACTTCGCACGCAAGCATGTTCGCAGTCGGTTCGGATTACACGGCACACACGCAGAGCGCTCTATAAGCTTTCCTATCCATCGAAACAGTCCAAGATTCATGTGATCTCTGTACATAGTTTCAGGTTAATTTATATCTACCAGGAGAAAAAACAACCCACAAACAAACAACATGTGTTATTTTTGCCTGAGGCACCGCCTTGTTCTTCCGATAATGTGGGACCTTTGGCGGACCATGGAAGAGCTTGCCAACTCCATGGCCACAGTAGGTGGTCACCACCGCGCAGTTGTTCTTGTTGGCCTCCGCGTTGATGGCATTGCCCAGGTCTCCTGAGAGTGGTGACGGATAGTGGGGTGATGGATGGTGGTTGTTTCTTGGTCAAACATGGTGCGACACGAATCATCAAAATGGATAGGGCAAAATTTGGGCTGGAAGTCAGTTTTTGGTAGAGGGGGTGCAAATCAGAGGGGTGTATGGAGCATATTGATTTTCTCCTTGCGGTGATTGGTCCGGATGCATGATGTCTAAGGCTGCCTGGAAGTTTGCCTGCCCAGGTGTCCATGAATGCCTGCAAAATCATACAAAGTCATGGTGGACAGTGGCACACGTTGTCATGCCGTTCAGTGGCGCCACTAGTGGAAGAAGGGGTCAGTTGGCTCCAAGCATGGAGGATCTCTGGGCATGTAGAGATGTGTTTTTGATTATTATTTTGCGTTTCCACTCCTGGTGGGCTGTGAGCAATCAATATGGCTAAGGGTCTAAAGCCCGTGCTTAGATCCCCTGATTTGTCACCACGACGGCCTAAGCCACTCGACTCCTTCCGTTGGCTTCCCTTCTGCCTCCCACCCGCCCCAGCGCCCTGACTGAACGCGCGGTGCGTAAAGGCCGCGGCGCTGTAAAAGGTCCCGGGGCGGATCAGTTGGGAAGCCGCCAAGAGCGAACTGTAGGCCGTGCGGACCAAGCGTTGGGAGTCTTCGTCACACTCGCCTGAGTACAACGGAATGGAATGAAGGACCCCGGTGGGTGGACCAAACCGAGGAGCAAACAAGGGACCGGTCCAACAGAAGTCTGGGACATCTGGGAAGTGACTAGATTCATTCTCTTTGGAATGTTGGACCTTGAAAGGTTGTTGCACTGCTTGTGGCACTTGTGGCAAGTGGATGATCTGGACTTTGTATCTAAATGCCACGCTCACCGGAAGAACGATCTCTGGACCTACAAAAAAAGTCTTTTGTTGATCTCAAAGATTGACAGAACCACATAGAACCACAAAGTAGGATAAGAATAATAAATGATAATAAATCGTTGTATCTCGAATGCATGTGGATCGCTAAGTATTCGATCAACTTAGAGGTTGAGTTCCTGCGGGCTGAGGACTTTTGAGATCCAACCTTCCTCTATGGACCTTCTTCAGAAGGGCCTGGTCCAGATCTATTCTATGTATAGGAGGAATTGGTGCGTGCAAAACAAAACCTTGCCTCATCTTGGCCTCAAATCTTCTGCATTGGAATAGTCATGATGAATAGGGTATAGATTGGTATAGGCCTCTCCAAAGTATGTCCGGAAGACGTGCAATTTATACAAGTCCAGTACAATGAACTGACTCCAAAGTCCAAGTAATTGAAGACTACAGCCAATGCTTTAAAGTGGAGGCAGTTGAGAGGAAGATGCAGGCATCCACGGGTTCTAACTCACCGCTTCATTTCCACACACACTCATCTAAACGGACCCCCTTTTCTGCAAAGACAATGAGGGGTGACCACAAGCTCGATGCCGACTTCGTCCCAGGCACCGATGAAGAAGGTCTCATTGAGATCCGAGTGAAAGCCCTGGTAGTAGATGCTCACATCAAGGTTCACAATGTCCCCCTCCTGGAATGTCGTTGAAAAGAAATCAAAGCAAATTACATAATCAACATTAATAATGATCAACTGGGCCAACCCTTGCGTTGTCCAAAATCCTCCCCCTCAAACAATAGATTTAAGCATAGTTAAAGTTGATTGATCCAGCCACACTCAAACTCACCAGCCCCATTGGATTCATTTGGGAATGATCTTTGTCAACTAAGGTACACAGGTAGTTATTAAGGTTATAAACATGGTACCAACCAAAAACTAAAAAAACATCAAAACACAAATCACTCACCAAAGACTGTTGAATTCGTCATTTGTCGTTACAGTAGAATACACATGAAAACGACACAAGAAAGCAAGCCACACCCCAAACCTGTGGGGTGTTGCCCTGTTGTTGCCAGCGTTTTGAGCCGAGTGTCTTCGATGGGTCTGCAATCCGGGATCCCATGACAGATCACCTCATTGGCCGAGACGCACACGGTCTTAGGGAAGCGAAAGTAGTTCAACGGGCTCGGATAGATCTTCCGGTCCACACACGCCTCGACAGGACAGGGCGACAGGTGCATGGGTCGCATTGAGCAAAGTATACAGTATACACCTTAACTCCAAGAAACCATAAGAAACATGTCACATTAAAGAATAAGTATGCTGTATACTGTATACATTAAGAATGCTTATACAGTAAACAGTATACACTTGAAGCACATTTCACCTCTTTATACCCAAAGAACCCTGGACCCTGCGGCGTTCCCCCCACCGAACTTGTGCTTGTGCACAAGCGCCTGGTAGACGACTCGATCAATCTCATCTCCAGTGACACCCGGGCGCATGAAGCGAGCGGCGATGTCCAGGACCTCACGGCGACGCCGCGGTGAGTGGGGTGTAGCGGATGGAGCGGATGGAGGATTTCTGGTCCCAAAAGGAAGTACAACAACCACCACCCCTTGGCGGCTTCCCCATGTTTGGCTTGCCTCCTTTCTGGGCAGAAAAGCTGGATGGAAACACCAGAGACCACCTCAAACTGTCCGCACCATTTTCTGATCACCATCTTTGTCCATTCTATGTCTGCTCCCATACTTTTTCGATGAAACTTGAAATAACCGCCAAAGCATTAAACCCCAAAACCAACCAACGGATAGATCACAGACTAATTAGCAACACAAACATCACAACCACCAACCAACCCCCCAAAAAACCGTCCTTCCCCAAACCCTCGCCTCACGTCCCAGCTTACAGGCCATGCGCATGGTCTCCAGCTCTTCGCCCTCCAAGACGGGCACCTCACGGACGCCCTGCCGCTCCGACAGGCTGGAGCCATCCGGCTGCAGCGCGTAGTCCGGCAGCAGGATGCCCTCGGGCATCTTCAACCTGGGCTTCGAAGTGGAGGAGGGAGCTTCAGCGTCCCGGTGGTGGGGTCACCTCTCGTGGCTGTTTTTGTTGTTCTCTTTGTGTTTGATCTGTGGGTTTTCGTGTTTCTGAAGACATTCAAACCTTCTGCAGACCGTTCCTGTTGTCCAGAGCTCCTTCCAACTGTGTCTGGAAGATAGGACAGGAAGACCGTGCCGCCCAAGTTTCTTGGCCACAAATGCAAGTAAGTTGTCGGCCACACGTCTGACACGTCTGGCAACTCATGAGAAAAGAGGGGGATCATGTACAGTATAAGGTCACAAGAGTACGTCGATTGCAACTTGAACCATGGCAGAGTGGTCTTCCAAAATACATCTCAAATAAACTCAAAAGGAAGGTGCCAACCCCGGTGCAACTTCTTGAACATCTGCAACATGCTTCTGAGCGTTTTACAAGTCCGGTTGCCAAAAAAACACAAATGAAGCATGAGTGTACACGTGTTCTGGATTCCTTCAGAACACTATCACCAGCAAAAAGGCCCAAGCAACAACCGGCCTTAAAGAACAATCTTCAGAAACCGATCTTACCCTTAGTAACAGGTGCATCGCGACTAGTAGCAAAGGGCATCGCTACCGGTACCGTCATATTACTAGTAGTAATGCCAGAAGCTACTATAGTACTTGCTCCTAGTAGCGATGCCCTTTGTTCCTAGTAGCGATGCACCGTCCTTCTCGCTCGAGTGAGTCAAAACTAAGTTTGCCACTGCTTGGTGACAAAGGCGGGACGCAAAGCGCCGGAAAACTGATAGCCCCAGAACTCCTTCGGAGGCCTTTTCCTCGGTGACTTCGTGGTGAATCAAACTCTGAGTGCAGTGGCGGGTCAGTTCCTCAAACCAGTGATGCTCGTTAATGTGGGCACTATCAACTAACTCATCTCCTATCTGTTTGGGGGTCAAAGAACATCAACATGAAAACACACATCTTCATGTGTCGTCATATTCAGCTCCTTATTTTCAGATAAGTTTCAGCTCCTGCTCCGACATCTTTTGAGAGTCGTTCATTAGGGCCTCCAGCGACTTCTGACACCACGCAGCAAAGTCTTCGTCTGAGACTCCATAGGTGGCGATGCCATCTAAACCGCTGGTGCCTACCTTCTTCTTTCCTCCTGAGATCAATATAGTCAGCATGACTTTAGGGATGTAAGTGATTTCTGGTTTGGGAATTAACTATAACCCAACTTGAATAAACATCTGGAAATTTATGATATCACGTTCATGACTTAACTTTGGGTATCCAGTCCTCCTCGTCGCTTTTTCTTCTTCTTCGCCGCACCCTCTTCCTGAGCCCCGTCGGCACCGTCCTCTTCTTCATCCTCTCCATCAGGAGGAGCCGTCTCATCCTCTGGTTTGGGGGCTGCTTCGGGCTCATTCACCTCTTCCGCAGCGTCCTTTTCTTTATTTCCCTTTTTCTTTTTCTTTTTCTTCTTTTTGCTTGCTGTGGCTTCAGCCGCCTCAGCATCCTCATCATCACTGGCCTCAGCTTCTACTGGCGCAGCACCATTGGGCTTCTTCAACTTCTGCACTGCTTCTGACTTTTCGGCATCTAGGACATCCTTAGTCAGCGAAGAAACATGTCAAGTAGAGATGTACTGGGATTCCCTACCACCTAAAGGCCAGCAATGGGAAGCAAAAGTTAAAGGGTACGCACTAGCAAGTTGTGAGCGTCAGGCTCCTCCATCACCTCCTCTGCATTGAGGTCTTTTTGATCAGAGCCAAGCTCTTGAGCCAAGAATATCCATGTCCTTCACTTCACAACTGATACTTCTGTTGCCTGGGTTCTCGGATTGGAACGGAGTGACCTAAATCAGCTTCCTCCTCTTCCCGGTTTACCTGATTCCCCAAATGTCCATGAAAGCCCGGGGCACCAATGAAAGCCCTCTAACAAGTCCCCAGTATGGGCCCCGAAACAATGAGTGCAGGATAGTGCAGGTGTATATAAATCTTTGGAGCTCTGGTTGGTTCTGCACCCTTTTGATGTATTTCATTGTATGAATTATCTTGCGAACATGAGGCAACAGTGTCGGGCAGGTTGCAAAGACCTGATCTGATGGATCTGCAAGTACGACCCCCTCCAGTGGTGCAGAATGACATTCCAATCGCGCCAACAGGATCATGGCAGAGCTCTGCTTGTCAAAGTGTTGCGAAGTCTTGACACTTTCCAACACAATTGGGTTTAAGCCGATGAGTAAGGACAAGGGGTCGACCGGGTAGGGATGCCCGTCCATTCGACCCTGCTTCCACATCCCAATTCTCACATCACTGATCGGTTGGCGCATCCCGATCTTGGGCGCTTCCTCCACATCCAGATGTTCTGAACCATTTCAGGTGAAGGTCTCACTTCAGGTGAAGGACTCTTCAGCTTTGCTCCTTTGCCTTCCGCCTTTCGGACGTGTTTTTGTGGAACGTTCCAATGGTTTTGACCATATTTGACCTGAACTCTGACTCTGCTTCTTTGGGAGTAGAATATAATATAAGCGTTGTCATAATGGCATCTGCATGAAGAGATTTGAAAATACTATGAAGTTACATATCATACAAATAATTAATTATGGATCTAGCCAATAGAGATGGGTCTCCCCAACCTCCTCCCCATCCTCTAAGGCTTCCGCGGGCAGGTGCAGCGACCACTCGGTCCCCGAAGAGGCTGGGCTCCTGTTCTCCGGTGTGAATATGAGTCCAAACGTCCACCAAACGTCCGGCGTGAAGTCAAAGTGAGATGATTCAGTTTCTGTCACACTATGCACAGGCACCCAGCAGTGTCAACATGATTGTTTCAAATAGATTGGATAATTTTGTGGAGGAGAGCATTGCACTACTTGAGCATCCCCTCAACACGCACAGCTGGATTCCTGAACATGTGTAGAATTCCAAATCTGCTACACTACCCTGCGTTTGGAATTTCCACGACTCGTCTGTCCTTTGATTATTTCCATTACATTATATGTCAACATTCATTGCATGTGCTGGCTCTGCATGGGTCAAACCACTGTATAGCTGTCAATCACGAAGCGTGGCTTGAGGACCACTTCACCTCAAATTAGGGCCCTGTCGTCTGTGTTGAAAACTGTTGGAAGTGTTTATGGTGTGTTAATGGACATTTCACTCCGAGCCAAGTACATGATGTCTGAGGTTGGGTATGGGACCGCGTTGAAACCGCGCTGACACCGCTTCGTCGGACGGCCACGGCCTCGAAGGGATTTCGAAGACCCAAGACTGCCACTTTCTTCCTCAGTCACCAGATTTGCGGCGAGTGCATGGAATGAGGGTGGATGGATCTGAAGGTATCTACTGAATCTACTGATGGATCTGAGTAGGTCATTCCCTCAGTCCCTGCGAGGAAACACCGGCCGTCACATTCACATAGTTCCTTTGTGGATCACATTCACATGGAAACATGTTGCAAAGCACTTCGCATTTCCCCCAGAAGAATTCAAAAAACATTCTAAGTCATCTATATGCGCAAACTTAGGCAGTATCCAATCTCCAGATTGGCCAACATCTCCAGATACACCAATCTTGCTGATTCATTGGGCAGTCGCAAACCCGTTGGGCGCCCAAACCCAGGATCCACCTGAGGCAAGTCCATTCGCTCCTCCGACGGCATCGCACCGGCGGCAGAATCCATTCGTCCGGGAGTTTCCCAAAAGCAACCCACTCCCGGACGAATGCCATGACATGTGTAAAGTGTAAAAGCTAGATCAGTACTATAGCCAATACTCATTGGAAATTTAAGGTTGTCACGCTGGCACACAAGAATGGCTTGGCTAGCAGTGCTGATTGCAAATCACAGTACATCTTTGCAGAGCTTGAAACAAGCTGTATGTCTGATAGTCAGCACTTCTTTGCCAAAAAGTGTTCCTAAATGTCTAGCACTATATGTCTAGCAGCATGTGATACGTTCCTGTTTCTCCCCCACCCCCCCTCACCCCATTTTAATCACACGACTAATCGATGACAATGTTGTGGTGTCGACGACAATGTTGTCATGTCTAAATGGTTGCTTCATGTTACTTCTAGGATTGCTGAAGTCCCCGGAGAACCCCATCCAAAGCCTCATATGAGCTTTCTGGCAAAACTCGTCTGCTCTTCACCTCCCAATACCTCCCATTTCTGTGGGATCTGAGGCCCACACCATGCCGCCAGAAGGTGTCCTTCAAGTTGAAACAACTTGAGGGAACATGAAGGCGTTGCAAACACTTCGGAAGTTAAGAAAGTGGAAAGAACAAGTGAAGCTATCCGGCTATGTGTTGTCTTTGAGCCAAGTCTTTCTCAAGCATCTGGCCAGTACCTCTTCCTCCAGCTGCCTGCAAACATGAGATTCAGATGAACTCTGGGCAATGCTGGGTGCCTCCCATTTCTTCCAAACCCCCAAGTGCCGCAGTGGAGCCGAGTGCCGCGGTCCTGGGGGTGTGGTGGGTCCTTTGCCAGGTCGCTGGGAGCTGCGTCTTGTAAGGCCTCAGGCAGTGCGGCGTTCAGGTAGGGAGCTTCACATCGGAGAGGGTGCATTGGTCTATTCGGGGTCTTGGATCGGGAAGCTCAACAAAGGCCATCATTCATCATTCCAGAACAGTTCTATAAGTTTTAGGCCTTTGGTTGTTCCTCCAACCAGGTTGGCTAGACTCATTACCTGTCATTACCGCGCTCAATTAGCCATCAAGAACCATCGCAACTCATCTTGGGGTGCCCAGGTATACCTCGATACAGCACCGCATCTGTATCTGGTCTGTATCATCATCTGCCATCGATCAAAACAACTTGACAAACTCTCTGCTGCTACATCCTGAAGGCATGTATTGTATAGTGTCAATGTCCTGTCATGTTGATGTGCTTGCCCAAAACATCCAGACCCTTGAGTGACCCTGATCTGGAGCCTCTGTCCCAAAGGAGCTTCCTCAGGCTTCTTCCTCCCAAACTTCTCCACTCGCCGTCCCTTTTGGGTCCAATCGCTCCTCACTGAAGCGTGTTTGGCCACATAAGGTCGATCAAGGTGATCTCGCCACTCGCCACGTGTCACCAGGGTGACACTGGATATGCTTCTGCCAGGGGGGTAAGGTCTCTCTAGCTTTCAAGAGTCAATTGAGGTCTACTTGACACATCTTGACACTATATTTGCAGCTTAGTAGCGAAGCTTCACCACACCAACCAGCAAGTATTTATTGTTCACCCTCGTCTGATATATTGTAAAGGATCCAACTAGGAACCGGCTGAAGCAGAAGGAACCAGCAAGTACAAATGCAATATTCTGAGGATCCTGGAGACCAATGCATCTTTGAACAGAACTAGGCTAGCGTGTCTTATGATATCCTGTCTGGACGTGACTGCACGCACCCAAGTGGATCAACGTGACTCTTCTGCCGCTACTTGGGGCCTCAGGCTACCAGGTACAATTGATTTGGCACTTATTCTCAGAGTATTTGAGGAGTACTAGTGGGGATAGGTGATAGATGAACAACTACTCCACCAGGTCCACTTGCAGCATATTATGTACAAAATTTCTGGAGATATTCTGGTCAAATATTCTCCACCGCGACCATCCAACAGATTTCTGGAGTTCTTGTCTCTCCTCTTCACCCAGTCGTGGCGGACGGAGGGAATCGCGGCGTGGCGGATCAGGCGGCGACCTGTACAACGGTGCCCCGCCGCATCGTAGTCCAATGTGGCGTCACAGTGCAACAGTTGCAAACTCAGGGGCCAAAATCACTGGTGGTCGCTATGCACATTCTTCTATTTGGAGACAAAGAACAGCTGCTGGATGTGACCTCACACTGAGGCAATCCCCTTCAGGGGATCTTTTGGTTGCCTCCACTTGGCAAAGATCTCAAGGACTTGCCACTACCCTGAATCTGCTGTGGAGAATACATTCCTTCTATCAAATTCTATCATTAACTGTTGGAGTCCAAGATCTGTTGCCATCTGCATCGATGCTCCATAGACCCGAACCAGTAGGGCATCGGGCACTTTGCCTGGCTGGAACTCTGCAGGCAAAACCTTCCAAGCGCAACGATCAGAATTCACCCATGCGATAGCAAGATGAAACACTCCGTGGTGAAGCTCCCATCTTCACTCGCAGGGTCAAAGTCAAGCAGCGACCAGCAATCGATCTTCTTTGGTGCTCGAGCTCTGCAAAACACCATCACAACAATAACTTCTTAAAATTAATTAGACCCATCTCGGCGTTCAACCAGCCAAATACCAGCTCGACCACCATTCCTTCCATGCCATTTCAATGCCGCCCGGAGGAGGAGGGCGCCGATGATGGCGCCGTCGTCGGCCGCAGCGCTCCTCCCGGTGAGGTCTGCGACCGCTGGAGGCTCCGCCCGGCAGCGCCGGAGGGTCGCGAGGCCGGGCGGGAGGAGGTCGCCAGGCCACCCAGGGTGGTGCGGCTGCGCGTGGGGCTGCGGCCTCGGGTCGGGTCGGCGAAAGTGGGGACAAGGAAGAAAGGCTGTTGGATAGGAAGACGTGGAAGGCTGTTTACTGTAATTCCCCAAGTAAATGGACAGGAATTCACTCAAATCCTTCAGGGCCCTTGGCAATGGAAGACTGACTACCGATGTGTTTGCCTTCTTTGAGTCTCTCAAATGAGATTGATTAATCAACCAACTCCCCTGTATATAGATGAACAGAGTTGTTTATAAAACATCAAAACATAGAGTTCTTAAGTTCCTACTATATAGAAAAGAAATGACAGAGCACAACAACCGTGACACACGTGTCGTCCTGAGTGATCCCAGCCCACGCTTTTGCACTTTCAATCACCTTCCAGTCAGACCCAGTGACCCAAGCATATCCAAGTAATATATCCAAGCATCTGGGTGAGGAGGTCCACGTCGCCGTGGAACTCCGCAGTGGTGAGCCGGTGGCCTCACCAAAGCAAGCTGGCAAGGCTGGCGCGCCACCGACGAGGTCGACCGAGGTTGCTGTATCCTCAAGGACAACATGGGGCAATTGCCGGACAACTGTGATGGATCTACTGTGAAGATCACTGTGATGGATAAAGATGGATATAGCATGATATAGCAACACCTCGCCCCAAGGGTGGAGCACTCAGATCTTGGCATTCGGATGTGACATGTGGCAAGGGGACTTGGGATCGGCTAACACAGCTCCCGAGATCTCTCGACGTCAAAAAACAATAAACGTCATTAACCTCCTATAAGTCCAGAGTCTTGAACACATGTTTTCCAGATCGTTTTGATCTTCCCAATGATTCCAATGCGGCTTTGTGGGAATCACTTGTTTCAAGCTAGTGCCTGAAGATTGCTCGAGGGATCGTTGGGCCGAGCGAACCTAAGAGGGCCCCTGCCGTTGGAGATACTGCCAGTCCAAGTCATTTGCCAATCCTCGCGCTCCAGCGGAGCCTCTGGATTCGTCTGATCTGCCAACTCGCTTAAGGGGGGCGGCTTCGGCTTGTCCTTCGAATCCTGGGCATCTGTGCGGTTGAATGCCGAAGCTCTAAACGATCTGAATACAATGGCAAAAGTAACAAAGACGTGTCGATCTATGATGATCTACCTACA